ATGGAAGGTTTAAAGCGTAGGGTGCAGGGCAGGATGCAAGCTGACCCTCCCCAGCATGGCAGGAGGGTTCTGTAGGCTGGATTCCGGGAGGTTGAGCGGTTCCTGGCTAGGGGCTGCTCTGTTGGAGGTCGTAGCCTTTTCTGTTCACCGCAACGTTGTCCTCCTTGCTTACCTGCAAGCATGTTGTCGGGAGGCAACGACTAGCTCCGTAGCTGCCGTTCGGTTTCTGCCTGGTGATTTTTGAAGGGGTGTGGTGCAGAGTCGTTGTTGTCGGCACACTTCGTGGATTTTGTTGTCGGCTTGTCGCACATGTGCTGCGTGGAGATGGCAGCGGGAGTCTCAGGTGAACTTCGCTGTTGGGATTTTGTATGATTCGTGGCTTCGCAACTTCAGCCCGGACTCGAAACCCGAGACCCTAAATCACAAGTCCGCTGCCAACAAGGAAGGTTGCTTGATTTAGTAATATGGCAATGTCAAGACATACACCACAACTCTGCTGAAGTTCACCAAGGCCCCCCAAACTTATTCTACTTCTCCATCCCGGAGCCCTTAACCGCATATTTCGGAAAACCCAGCCTCGAAAGCACAGGTGCTGACCGACCTCAAGCTGAACCCAGAGACCGTAGAGTGGAAGGTGGGTTTCGGCTTTGGAGTTTGGAGTTGGCTTTAGGGTGCATGGGGCTGGGGAGAATTGGCTGAGGTCTTTTAGGATAGTAGGGCATGAGAGTACTATGAGACACTACTAGTAGTGTCTTCTGGTTCAGGGTTTTTATGTGCTGGTTTGAGCACGATTTCTCCTCGAGCAGACAGTTTGGATTCTTGCTGCTGTTTCGCAAACTTTCGCAAGCTAGTTCGGAGTCGTGGGCGCCCGGACCCTAAACCCTAAACCCTGAACCCTAAACCATAAACCCTAAACCCTAAACCTTAAACCCTAAACCCTAAACCCTAGACACCGCACTGGCCAGGTCCCACGCTACTTCCTCGACGGCAAGGAGTGCCGCGAGGAGATTGAGGACAAGCAGCATAAGATCGATCACTGCCGGGGGTGCCCAGCTGCGATGTGCCTTCGGAACACTGCATTCCGAAATTCTACCAAAGCCCTGACATAGAATCCGAAGCCGTGGGGTCTTGCAAGTCCTACCTTTCATCCGTATCTTCAACGTGCCCTGGACCTCCTATCCCAGAGCAGAGATGCTAAGTCCCCAAGGCAGAACCTTGAGCTTCAAGCCACTGCAAAGCTTTGTTTACCCGAGTTCTGCTTCGGCCATTTTACCGACCCGTGGCGTTGCATTAACCATCGGGGATTCCTTTGCATTCGTGTTCCACCTTTTCCCAGAAATCCCATCGTGATGAGGACCGATTTCAGGGACAGCAGAGTAGAGCCCTACGAAAAGCCAAGCAGAACCCTCGGGATGATCGTAACCATGCCGGTTACTGCCCAAGCGCGTTCGATCACTTGTCGCAGACAACGGAAGCCCATGTCACACAACAGCCGTGACCAATGACACGGCAATGCCTGAAAGGTTTTAATGAGGCTATGCCGGGGCGTTCCCCCCTTATGGCATTCTCTGGAGTGATTATTTGACGTAGGAAAGAAGTCTCGATACTTAGTCATGCCTCTCGCATCAAGCACCCGGAACCCTAAGCCCTAAAACCTAAACCCTAACTCTCTTCCGACTTGTTTAATATGCAAGAACTTGGGTTTTGCATAGCTCCTAGCGGTCACTCCGAGCCACTCTTTCCAGCACTTCCTCCCCCTCCCTCCCGCCGAAACTTCTATGCCTTAGCAAACATGGCAGACCTGGGACATCACATTCAATAGCTGTAAGTTTCTAGCACGGTTTAGGGTTTAGGGTTTTCTAGCAGGTTTGTTGAAGCCCCAATCCCTGGACCCTTAAGGCTTTACGGCCTCACGGGGTCTTCACCCCCAGCGAGGAACCAAAAGGCCTTTTCAAATCCGGTAAAGCTCTGCAATGACACTAAGATGCCCTATCAAAATCCTAGCGAAGCGAACAGAACTTGCTAAGATCCCGGTGTAAGAACACCATGAAAAAGATTTGTTGGGATCCTACACAAAAGCCTATGAGCACCTCCAAAAACCAAAAACCCTACTCTAAGCCCTACACCCTTGAAGCCCCAAAGCCTTAAAGCCGCCAGTCCTAAACCTTTAGTCCTGAACCCCAAACCCTAAACCCTAAACCCTAAACCCCAAACCCTCCTAAAGTTTCCTAAAGCCCTGAGACTTTCGCTTTTCAAGGGCTCGGCGTCTTCGGCATGTCTTTGGTGCCGGACGATCTGTTGGACAAGAAGGACCCCTTTGAGGCGGACGAGCGGGCATTGTCTGTCGTTTCAGAGACTGACGCAGTGTGTCTGTATATGTATGATATGCATTTGTATGCTTGTATATGTTTATGTATATATAGATATAGATGTATATGTGTGTATACCTGCGTATTTAAAAGCCTGTATGTGTGCTAGTAGATATTTCTATATTTGTACTTGTACATGTTTATGTATATGTTTTCCCGAAAGCATCGCGAAGGGTTCTTCCGTGCGGAGCCTCGCAGAGAAAATACATAGAGAATACGTGGAGTCAAGTACACTTGACTTTACCACACTTGACTCTACGACACTTAGCTTTACCACACTTGA